TTGTACTACCACGTGCCATATAACAGCGATAATAACAAAACCGTTATTATACTGCTAGTTTCAGATAACATCAGGAGTATAATAACATATATCTATCTTCAGGGCTGCCAACTCTCACGCATTTTGACCAAATCTCACGCTCTCACGCTGATCTTACAATATCTCACGCACAGCAAAAAAATGCTGAGATATCTCACGCATGAATATCTCTTCATGAATAAAACGCTGAAATATCTCACGCACAGCAAAAAAAATCTTACAATATCTGAAAACAGCACTTTAGCATTGCACCAAATTGCACAAATTGAAGTTATAAAATGCAAAAGCTCCCTACTGTGGGAGGGAAGGAAACCCCCTTGCCCACACCCCCCTCGGTCGGCTTCGCCGTCCTCGGCATCATTCAAACGGCTCTCATGCTATGCACCGCAATGTGGCAGCCCTGATCTTGTGTTATCATGTTAATGTTCTTTTAATACTATATAGGCATATAGAGAATATAGAGGCGGGTCACACTACAGCCATGATACAGGGCCGATTTAAGCGAAGCTGAACGTTCGGCTCGCTAGGCCCGCTTGGTCGACGCCTGCAAACGCACGTGCGCACACGCGCGACCCGCACCACCGAAAGCAACAATACTCTTGGCTCGATGCGCTACGCGCGCACTGCCACCATGAACGCAGCAAATGAACGTAACAAACGAAAGAATTAACGATTGCTAAAGCGCACGAATAGCACGCATACGCCCGTACCTGGAAACGAACTGGCGAACGCTGCTTCTCGCACAGAAAAAAAGAGAAAAAGAAAGAAAAACACGCACGAGCGCAGAAACGAACAAACGGGCTGGAAGCGCACGAACTGCGCGCACACGCGCTGGAACGAAATTCTTAGCAAGCACTGCACACGCTGGGCAGGAAACTATGCCATGCACGAAACGCACGGGCCGGGCGTTACGTCGCTGCTTGATGCTTAGATTCTAGTATTGGGCTTGAATTAGTCCATGTAGGCGAATTAATAGACTTTTACGAAGTATTACAGTACGATTAACCAACGCTTATGATGCGCTCGCTGCACTGATTGAGGGCTAAATGCACAGTACCGAATTAAGCATACCTCAATTTGCTTATACGGCGTTATGCATGCGTATGGTCACCTGCAAGTTACTCACCCGCTTTCCGATACGGTAAAAGCAGGCCAGCTGCCCAGCAGTAGCACTTCCGACTAGGATAAGGCAGAGCCTGTCCGTCGAAGGCATTCGGTCAAACAGCCGTGAAGAGCCGAATGCGCGAGCCTACATCCGGCTGCGAATTGTTCAACTATTGCTCAATTACGGCAGGCACCGGATATCGCCAGCACGTCTTTAGAGGGATCGCGTTCCCGCCGCCTCACAACGCTGTCGCGGCGGCGGCTGCGATGCGCTGTGATGCTGCGAGTGCGCTCGAATCAAGCGCCGGCCGGGACACGCCTCGCAGTCCTGCACATCAGGAGTGCGGATGAATGGTTGGCGCCGTGAGCGCTTTCGCGCGCGTGGGAGCGACGCTACGTGTTGCTTTAGCCCGTGAAACGCTGGCGTCTCCCCACGTTTTGTACACTAAGGGTAGCAATCGGCAGTGACAAACTCGGGCGCGTAATGCGTGTAAAATGAAAGGGTACCGCGACCCTGACGACCTAACGCCGCGACGAGCGATGCGTGCACATGGGGTTGTAGATATGTGTTTTCACCATGCTTGGTTTCCCCACTCCACTTGTTGGGCCTTGGGTAGCGCGCTAAAGCTAGCTCCCGTGCGCGCACTTCGTAGCGCACCCATATTGTTGCAGTAGGTGGGAAAATGGTAAAAAACAGCTGTGGCCCAGGGAGCAGTCGCAGGCTAGCATATATTAGGCTCCACGACAAAAGCGAAAATATCCATTGGGCCGGCGTCGAACAGTTAGTCTGTAAGCTCGCGTATTTCATGACCTTTGACGAATATTCATCGCCACTTTAAACGTGTAACTTGGCTTTACCGCTCTGCTATACTTAAGATTTACAGCACTGCCTACTGCTCAAATTCGTGGCTGGTTTTTGCGCTTGGTAAAATAGGCAAGCGTGTCTATACGCTGCCAGGTTAAATAATTTTAGGGGCCGGCCCTATAGACCGAAGGCGACGCATAGACCGAAGGTCGATAGACCGAAATATGAAAAGGGGAACGCTATAGACGAGCCAGGTCGATCAGACGCGAATATTGAAAAGGGACCTAACTAGACGCTGAAGGTCGATAGACGAATATTGAAAAGAGGACTATAGACACCGACGCTGGGTTGCGTGCGTGCATGCGCACAGCTGTGCGTACGTGTGTGCTGGCACGTGCTGCGTGCGTGGTGTGCACGTACACGTGCGTGCGTTGACACGTACACTGCGTTGCGTGGCGTGCTGTACGTAGCATAGGCGTGCCACAACGTAGCGTGTGGGCGACGTAGCAACGCTGCGTGTGCTAGAGCCTGCTGCGTGCGCTGTGTGCGTGCGTGGTGTGTCGTGTGGCGCTCCGTGTGTGTGTGTGTGCACGTACACGTGGCGTGCGTGCGTTGTTCACGTACACGTGCAGCTGCATGCGTGTGTCAGCGCTAGCACGGGTGTTCCGTGCGTGCGTGGCGCGCGTGTGTGTGTGTGTCGCTGTGCGTGTGTGTGTGTGTGTGTGTAGTGCTGTGCTGTGCTGTGTCCGTGTGCGTGGTGCGTGTGCGCCATGTGCTGTGTGTGAGAGAGGTGTGTAATGTGTGTGTGTGTGGTGTGTGCTGTGCTGTGTGTGTGTGTGTGTGCGTGCTGCGCGCTGTGCGTGTGCACGTGCGGCTGCCATGCGTGGGTACGTACATAGGCGTGCACACGTGAGTGTGGCACGTACACGTGCGTGCTGCTAGCGTGCGTGCGTTGCTGCGTGTGTGTGTTGTGTGTGCACTGTACACGTGCGTGGCGTGCGGTTCACGTACGACGCTTGGCCTGCATGCATGTGTACGTAACACGGTGCTGCTGTCGCGTGCGTGTGGTAGCTGTGTGGTGCTGTGTGTGTGCCGTGCTTGGCTGTGTGTGCTGCTGTGTGTGTGTGTGTGGTGGTGATGTGTGTGTGTGGTGTGTGTGTGTGTGTGTATGTGCTGTGTGTGGTGTGCGTGTGCGTGTGGCATGTGATTAGTGTGCTCAGTGAGAGAGCGTGTGTATGTGTGGTGTTGTGACGTGTGTGTGCTGTGGGTGTGTAGGCTGTGTGCGGCGCGTGTGGCGTGTGTCACGTGCGTGCGTGCCGTGTGTACGTACAATGGCGTGCACACGTGCCCGTGCTGCACGCTACACGTTGCGTTGTGTACCAGTGCGCGCTGGCTGTGTGCGTGTGCTGTGTGTGCACGTACACGTGCCGTGCGTGCGTGTGTACGTACGACGCGTGTGCGCTGCGTGCGTGCGTGGCGTGCGTGTGCTGTGTGTGTCGCGTCGTGTGCGTGTGTGTGTGTGTGTGTGCTGTTGTGTGTGCTTGTGTGGCTGTGTGTGTGTGTGTGTGTGTGTGTGGTGTGTGCAGCAGTACACGTGCGTGCGTGCGTGTTCACAGGTACACGTGCGTGCATGCGTGCTGTGTACGTACACGGGTGTCGGCGTGCGTACGTGCGCCCGCGCGCGTGTGTGTTGCTGTGCTGTGCGCGTGTGTGCTGTGTGTGTGTGTGTGTGTGTATGTGTGCTGTGTGTGCCGTGTGCGTGCTGCGGCTGTGTGTGCAGATGAGAGAGTGTGTTGTTGTGTGTGGTGTGCTGTGTGCTGTGCTGTGCGTGTGTCGTGTGTGCTGTGCCCGTGCGCTGCGCTGTCGTGTGCGTGCGTGCTTTTTCATGTGTAGAGAAGCAGACGAGAGAGGGAAGTGTTCGTTGTGGTGTGTTGCGTGGGTGCGCGTGCTGTGTGCTGTGTGTGCGTGCTGTTGTGCATGCGCTGCGTGTGTGCATGCGTGCGTGCGTGCGTGCGTGTGCTCGTGTGTGTCGTCGAACGCCGTAGCCACTGCGTATTCCGAAATCATCTTTACACCTTGAACACATAACCTTTCGGCTCTATCGGACCTTCGGTCTATCGGACCTTCGGTCTATAGGGCCTTCGGTCTATCGGACCTTCGGTCTATAGGGCCTTCGGTCTATCGGACCTTCGGTCTATAGGGCTGTAACCATAATTTTATGCGGTTTTTAGATATCACGACCTTCGCGCGATTTTGCGTTCCTTCCGAAACGAAATTTCTTGCAAGGTCAAACTGCATGGCAGCTAGCTTTCCTTATTCAAGTTTATCATTTCTGAAGTGTAAAATAAGAAAAGATACGGGATACAAAAGATGAACTAAATATGCTATAGTTAGCCGTTATCAGTCTGATAAGCAGTCGCATGAACAGTTATTTCCTAGAGAAAAAAAAACGTATATAAGGAAGTCTATTTCTACCCGTAATCGTAATAGTGGTTACGCGTGAGTGTGTGCATTACACCCTTGCTAGCGTCTATTTAAATGCAGGTAATAAAGAACATAACGAACTATGATGTTACGTATCCAGTTATCTCTTTAATTGTACAGCCTTAACTATGCATCCGCCCATAACGGGTCGAATGCATACAGTCGAGGTGCGCGAGTAATCTAGGTTATTGATGTATCGTAGCTGACTCGAACCAATATCGTCTATTAATTATGTACTGTCTCTGCTACACTCTCTCTCCGATCTCTCTCTCTTATCTAGCCGAACACGTGGTTATATACCCACATAGGTAGACACGCCTACCTATTGTTTGTTGTCAGTCCGTACTTCGTTACTGTCTGTAATTGGCTAATTCTACCACTGTCTAGTCCAGCGTTATACTTTACACAGCTGACCTGTATGCCAACCTGGAACAATAGCTTATTCCTGTATATTTATTTCTCTGTCTTTCGACGGTATTACACGTAGCCTGCATGGGGATAAAATTTAATATCCTTGAGATCAGATATTATCATTATGATATTAGAAATACAAATAAAAATGCGATACTTATTCTTTATGTCATATATTATATGTCATAAACGCGGATTTTTTTTTACATACGCATGACATATAGCGCCATTCGCTATTCACAATATACACACCTCAGTGATCGAATTAATGATATACATTGTAGATTACAGAGAAACAATAGTTCTGCCACGCTAAATGACATGACTTAATTGTGCAATGTCATGCGATAACCGTCATTACATGGGGATGAAATGGTATAAACAGTAAAATGTTTCCTTTATCCTTTTAATTGGAAACGATATTTATAATTGTAAACGATTGCTGCCTAACACCTATAACGACCAAGGTGAAGCTAACCACGTTCATCAGATCAACTAAATTCACTCTACTCGCCATGGATGCCGGACCATCCTCTTAGTTAGTTTTAGAAGTACTATTGAAGTACGGTGAGTAGACTGATGGTATGGATAAACGTGACCCATACATGTACTACCACGTGCACACGCATTGATGTGTATAGTTGTAGTAACATAGGTGACAAGAAACGCTTTCACCATAACAATAACCTTAAAATATATTGAAACATATATGTGACCCGTGATAGCCAAATGAGTCGGAAGTCGCACAGTAGCATTCTACTGTACAATCGATTTAAAAAAAATATTATTTTTTTAATTTTCGTGAAATTTTTTTTTCAAAACAATTATCTACAATGTTTACTTTTAATCTGTATAATCAAAAACGTCTTAATTCTATTAAAACCTGCTTAAATTGAATGATTTATAAGGAGTGTCGGCTAATAATATCAGTGAATGATATTAGTTTTCAGCCCTTATTTTAGACAATTCTCAGGAAATTTTAATCGCATGATATCTCGATTTATAATGGTCATAAAATATTCATTTTTCAGCCACTTTTCCATATCTATATAACAATAGAAAGCTATGAATCTCAGGTATCTAAATATGTATTCAACCTAAAATGTCAAAATTGCCCCCAAGTGACTCATTTCGCTATCACCGGTCACATAGTATGATCAACATGCAATACAAAACATCATCCATATCTATCAAAAGCACTGCAACATCCATCCATCACTATACATGACGTATCACTGATCCTGATGAGAATCCAGAACCTACAAATTCCAAAACTGGCTTGAATCTCCTACTTAGACACATGAATATAATCAAGAGCGTATAAAGAAGGTTATACCTTCTTTATACGCTCTTGATATAATGCAAGAATATAGTATGTATTATGAGTAATTGCAATGGTCAAACCCAGACATTTGAACCTCCCTTCCTGCAGAACGATAAGATTTTGGGAGAGCTATTTCTGAGTAGCCAAACCTACGCAGAAAACCATAATTGATTCTTGACGCTAGATGGCGCTGCCCCACCTGGTGACAAGCAGAACCAGAGGCAGAACCTACAAAACGATTCTTCAAACCGGCCTAGTGCGTGAACACGCGTTTTACAGACACGACAGAGAACTACGAAAACTGCTACTGTATTATATCACTTGGACATAAATGACAGAGATTGATGCTTTCCATAAATCATCTTGAAGTTTCACAAATTTTACACTTAATTTTGCATGTCCCCAATTCCTTGATATCACATATGCCAAATTACAATCAATAATTACAAGATGTAGTTTTTAAAATAAATATATTTATACACAATTTAGAAATCAGTAAGGCTCCCAGGTATAGATAAACACTGATTAATTGTTGCAAGGATAATGTCTACCCAACTGTACTAGCTAGAGTATTATATATAAATATTAATAATTCTGAAATAATAATCTTTAATTTGTTTTCACGACAAATTTATCAAACAAAAAATTAACTTTCAACGTATTTGTGTCAGCTTGCAAGTAACCGCATAATAAAGAATTGATATTTGAATATATAAAAACCGATTTACTTTGTTAAACAAAATACAAAATAAAAATTACAGAAAATATGATGCACTATTAGCAAAAGCTATGGAGTGTCTCAGAAAATTTGACAGACATTCATGGATGGCCGCCAGACGAACTCTGTCCAACATGCTAGAACTGAAGGTTTCTTAGGTTTGGAAGGTCTGGAAGCTTTATGTCCTTGATTTGTTGCTGAAGATTCATGTTCTTCACTGCAGAGACAGCTCTGGCTGGTGCTGCAGATAAACCAGCCTGCAAAATGTTAGGAAATCCCATGTATGTATGCCAAGGGTCCAATGCAAATTGAAACAATTTCTATTTCAAAATACCAGAAATCTTTCGGGATAACATATTCGTTCCTAGAAAAGTGCTTTCCTGGGTAAACTCACAAAATTTAGAAATTCAATTAAAACGTCTTGATAGCTCCAACATCTCAAACATTTTAAAGCGAGGATTTCTCACATAAATTTTTTCGAACCGTTTTCACATTTTCTCGACCATTCTGATACTTACTGGTACTCCTTGCATAACACCAAGTGTAAATAGTAATGCTAACACATCATAGAACACTCGCACATCCTTATTTTCACCAATATGTGCACCAATCTCTATTAAAAAGTATATTTTTTTACATATGTTAACAAAACTCGCAAGATGCCATCGACCGGTACCTTATCTCTACACTATATTGCCTCTGTCTACATTTCGAGATAGGTACCAGTCTATAATGAAAGTGTCAATGACACTGTAGCTCACCACAAATAAGGACACAAATGAGTGAGTAAGAAGAAGTCAGTTTTAATTGAGCAACCATCGACGTACATTATAGAAACGATTGCCATCTGTATATCGCAATAATAATTTATAAACCAAAATGAATCACAACTTGTGACCGTAGATGGCGCTATACCCGCTTTGTAGCGATGACGTTTGAAATAAATAGGTTATGCTGCGTTCCGACATGTTTTGTAAAACTTTACTCTAATATAGACGTTTTATCGGCAGGGTGGAGAGGAAATACCAATTTTGCATTAAAGATATTGTCAATGAAATCTTGTAAAACGAACCAGACGAGTGTGACACCACAGACTGTTTACTTCGCTCCCTCGCATCTCACTCTCATCTATCACCCAATGTTGGCAGCCCTGATCTTGTGTTAATCAATGTTAATGTTCTTCTAATACTATATAGGCATATAGAGAATATAGAGGCGGTCACATACAGCCATGATACAGGGCCGATTTAACGAAGTGAAGTTCGCTCGCTAGCCCGCTTGGTCGAACGCCTCAAACGCACGTGCACACGCGCGACCGCATCACCGAAAGAACAAACTCTTGCTCGATCGCACGCGCGCACGCACACATGAACGAGCAAATGAACGAACAAACGAAAGAATTAACGATCTAAAGCACGAATGCACGCATACGCGTTGGAACGAACTGGCGAACGCTCTCTCGCACACACGCACGCACGCAGAAACGAACAAACGCTGGAACGCACGAATGCGCGCACACGCGCTGGAACGAAATTCTTACAAGCACTCACACGCTGGCAGGAAACTATGCATGCACGAACGCACGGCCGGGCGTACGTGTGCTTGATGTAGATTCTAGTATTGCTTGAATTAGTCCATGTAGCGAATAATAGACTTTACAGAGTATTACAGTACGATTAACCAACCTTATGATGCGCTGTGCACTGATTGCAGGGCTACAATCACAGTACCAATTAAGATACTCATTTGCTTATTAGCGTTATGCATGCATGGTCACCTGCAAGTTACTCACCCCTTTCCGATACGGTAAAAGCAGCCAGTGCCAGCAGTAGCACTGCGACTAGGATAAGCAGAGCCTGTCGTCGAGCCATTGCGGTCAACGCCGTGAAGCCGAATGCGCGGCACATCGGCTGCGAATTGTTCAACTATTGCTCAATACCAGGCACCGGATATCGCAGCACGTCTTTAGAGGGATCGCGTTTCCCCCCTCACAACGTGTCGCGGCCGGGGCTCGATGGTGTGATCTGCGAGTGGCGAATCAGCGCCGGCGGACACGCCTGAGTCCTGACATCAGAGTGGGATGATGGTTGCCCGTGGCTTTCGCGCGCGTGGGAGCGACGTACGTGTTGCTTTAGCGTGAAACGCTGCGTCTCCCCACGTTTGTACACTAGGGTAGCAATCCGCAGTGACAAACTCGGCGCGGTATCGTGTAAAATGAAAGGTACCGCGACCTCTGACGACCTAACGCGGGAGCGATCGTGCACATGGGGTGTAGTAAATGTGTTTTCACCATGCTGGTTTCCCCACTCCCACTTGTGGGCCTTGGTAGCGGCTAAAGCTAGCTCCGTGCGCGCACTTCGTACGCACCCATATTGTTGATAGGGAGAAATGGTAAAAACAGCTGTGCCCAGGGAGGCAGTCGGCAGGCTAGCATATATAGCTCCACGACAAAACGAAAAATATCATTGGCGCGGCGAACAGTTAGTTGTACTCGCGTATTTCATGACCTTTGACGATATTCATGCCACTTTAAACGTGTAACTTGTTACGTCTGCTATATTAAGATTTACAGCACTCCTACTGTCAAATTCGTGGTGGTTTTTGCTGTAAAATGGCAAGCGTGTCTATACGCTCAGGTTATAATTTTAGGGGGCCGCCCTATAGACCGAAGGGCCGATAGACCGAAGGTCCGATAGACCGAATATTGAAAAGGGACCTATAGACCGAAGGTCCGAATCCGTCCGATAGACCGAATATTGAAAAGGGACCTATAGACCGAAGGTCCGATAGACCGAATATTGAAAAGGGACCTATAGACAAAAGAGGGATCGCGTTTCCAACTCACAAGTGTCGCGGGCGCGCCGGGCTCCGATGGGTGATTTGCGAGTGCGAAATCAGCGCGGGCGGACAACCTGGAGTCTGACATTCAGAGTGGGATGCATGGTTGCCCGTGCTTTCGGGCGCCGCGGTGGGAAGCGGACGTACGTTATGCGCTGTCGTAGGCGTGAAACGCTGGCCGTCGCCAACGTTTGGTACACTAGGGTAGCAATCCGCGAGTGACAAATCGGCGCGGTATCGTGTAAAATGAGACGAGGTATCCTCCGGGCGACCTCTGACACCTAACAGGCGGCGAGCGATCGTGCAGCATGCGGGTGTTAGTCAAAAGTGTGTTTTCACACAGTGCTGGTGTTCGGCCCACTCCGCCACGTTGTGGCCTTGGTAGGCGGCTGAACAGCTAGCTCCGGTCGCGCGCACGTTCGTACGCACCGCATATTGGTTGATAGGGAGAATGGTAGAAAACAGCTGTGCCTCAGGGAGGCAGTCGGCAGGCCTAGCATAAGTATAAGCTCCAACGACATAACGTAAAAAATATATGGCGCGGCGAAACAGTTATGTTGTACTCGCCGTAATTTCATGACCTTGGTGACGATATTCATGCCACTCGTTAAACGTGATAACCTTCTGTTACGGGTCTGCTACACTTAAGGATTACAGCATCTCCACTACTGTCCAAATTCGTGGTGGTTTTGCGTGTAAATGGGCAAAAGCGGTGTCTAGTACGCTCAGGTTATCCGAATTTTAGGGGGGGGCCGCCCTATAGGACCGAAGGGCCGCGATAGAGCGCGAAGTCCGAGTAGACCGATATTTGAAACGGACCGGGTACTAGAACCCGAAGGCCCGATATGACCGAATGATCTGAATCGAGCGGCACCCATAATAGACCCGCGAAGGTCGCGATCATGACCGAATATTGAAAAAGGGACCCTATACGACGACGTGCGGTGGGCCGGTGGCCGTGCATTCGCGCACGGTGGTGCGTAGTGTGGTGCTGCACGTGGGCGTGCGTGTCGTGGTGCCACGTACACGTGCGTGCGTGTACACGTACAGCGCTGCTTGCGTGGCGTGTGTAACGTAAACATAGGCGTGCAGCACGCTGCGCTCGTGCACGTACACGTGCCGTGTGTACGTGGCGTGCGTTGTCCGTGTGTGTGTGTTGCACTGCGTGTGTGGTGTGGGTGTGCCACAGTACAGCGTGCGTTGGCGTGCCGTGTTCACGGTATCACGTCGCGTGCATTGCGTGTGCTAGCTGTAGCACGGGGTGTCCCCGCGTCGCGTGCGTTGCGCCGCGTTGTGTGTGTGTGTGTGGTGCGTGTTGTGTGTGTGTGTGCTGTAATGTGTGTGTGTGTGTGTGTCGCGTGTGGCCCGCGTGTGCGCATGCGTGATGTGACTGTGGAGGAAGGAAGGTGTGTATGGTGTGGTGTGTTGTCGTGTGTGTGTGTGTGTGTGTGTCGTTGTGTGTGCGGCGTGTGCGTTGCACCGTGCGTGCATGCGTGTGCTTACGTACATAGGCGTGCACAACTGGCGGTGTGGGCAGCGTACACGTGCGTGTGTACTCGTGCGTCGTCGCCCGCTCGCCTGTGCTTGTGTGCACGCTACACGTGCGTGCCGCGTGCGTGTTCACGCGTAGCACCGTGCGCTGCATGCATGTCGTACGGTAGCACGGTGTGGCGTGCCGTGCGTGTTGGTGTGTTGTGTTTGTTCGTGTTGTGTGTCGTGTGTGTGTGTGTGTGTGTGTGCCGTTTTGTGTGTGTGTCTCGTGTCGTGTGTGTGTGTGTGGTGTGTGTGTGGTTGTGGCGTGTGCCGTGTGCGCATGTGTGTGTGTGTGAGGAAGAGGTGTGTATTGTGTGTGTGTTGTCGGTGGTGCGTGTGTGTGTGTGTGGTGCGCGCGTGTGCGTTGCACTGCGTGCGCTGCGTGTGTACGGTACAGTAGGCGTGCACACTGCGTGTGCACGTACACGTGGCGTGGCTGTATCTGCGGTGCGTGTGTGCGTCGTGTGCTGTGTGCACGTACCGTGCGTGTCGTGCGTGTGTCGTAACCACGGTGTGCGGTGCGGTGGCGTGCGTGCGTGCGTTGTGTGTGCGGTGCTCGTGTGTGTGTGTGTGTGTGTGTCGTGTGTGTGTGTGTGTGGTGTTGTGTGTGTGTTGTGTGTTGTGTGTGCACCGTAGCACGTGCGTGCGTGCGTGTTCACTAACGTGCGCATGCTAGCGTGTGTACGTAGCAACTGGTGTGCGTCGCGTACTGGCGCGCAGCGTGTGTGTGTGTGTGTGCGTGTTGTGTGTGTGTGTGTGTGTGTATTGTGTGCTGTGGTGCGTGGTGCGTGTGCGGCCATGGTGTGTGTGCTGAGAGAGAGTGTGGGTTGTGTGTGTGTGGTGTGTGTGTGTGTGTGTGTTGTGTGTGTGCCCCGTGCGTGCGTGC